CTTCTCAATGTACCACAAATTGCAATGATGCACTTACAATAATTTGACAACATTTTGAGTGATGTGTATATTGTCATACTATGGCATTTTATTCTTTCATAACCAGTGCATGCCAATCATGTCAAAACAAGAAAGGGGGAAAAAAGGATAAATCTGGACTTAGTTCTTTTAAAGCCGAGTGGAGTGTGAATTATTTTGTTATCAAATTTGATGGCAAAGCCCTGTTTTTATTATACAATGATACTATAACTGTGCAACAAAACATGTCAACTTTACCAGACTAAATACTCATTACATTATTTCTAAGAAAACAACAGCCAGAAAATTTGGGAAAATTTAAAGGAATATCTCAAATTACATCATAACAAAATTTCTTCACAAAATAAAAAATGGAAGTGATTCTGCAACCAAATTAATTTCTTAGTAGCTCTTTTATTTGTAAAGCAAGGGAAGCCATTCACTGATAGTAAGTTAATTAAATCATGCTTTTATCCAGGAAAAAAAAAACTGACTTAAGACTATTAGCCTTTAAACAAAAAGAGTTGAGGTCATAGGATCAGTACAATAATTATAAAACAAGGCAAGTGACTGAGATTTTCTTGGTTAGAGATGAGTCAACAGAAGTTACTGCTCAGTTGTATTTTATTTGAGGAACAAATGCTGAATTTAAAGTAACTAAAAAATTAGCCCCTGTAAATAGTCTTTTGAAACAATTATGGGCAAGAATATTTTCAAAGAAATTAAGAAAACACTAATGTAATACAACCTTAAGTGAAACATACTAAGATGTGATATAATGGTGGTAAAAATATATATGAATCAGAAAGACAAATTTACAAAGTTTATGAAAATATATGGCTATTAATTTTTTATTCATCAGCAGATACTTTGAAAAAAATATTAGAACCTATTTTATGTGTTTTTTTAAAATCTTTATTGAAATATAATTTACATACCCTGCAATTCATCCATTTAAAGTATACAATTCAGTGTGCCTTATAATTTTAAAATTTTTGCATATTCATAGAATTTTCAACTATCACTACAATCCAATTATTTCAACATTTTTCCCTTCTAAAAGAAACTTTATATGCATTATCCCTCTCTACCTATTCCCGAACCCTAAGAAACCACTAATCTACTTTCTATCTCTACAAATTTGACTATTCTTTTTCAAGATTGTTTCTGCCACTCTAAGTCTCTGAGTCTCTTGCATTTCCATATAAAGTTTAAAGGATAAGCATATAGTTCAGTGGTAGAGTACTTACCTAGCACATGTGAAGTCCTAGATTCAATCTCTAGCACCACAAAAAAGAAAGAACATTTAAGGTCACTTTGGTATTTTCTGAAAATATCATGTATTTTTGATCCATTAGATTTAATAGTGAGCTTCATGCTTCTGAACTCAACCACTTGAATATTTTCATAAACAAAAGTTGGAAAGTGTGGGAGTGTAGCTCAGTGATAGAGCATGCACTTAACATGTATGAGGTCCTGGGTTCAGTCCCCCAGTTCCTCCCCCTCAATTTGAATAGAAATAGAAAAATACTCTCACTTTCCCTACTACATATCATTTCAATGGCTTAGTAGTGACAGAGTCTTATTGCATGTATTTGAGTTCAGGGCAAAGATTGAAATTTTTGAGAATGAGAACTGCCCTTGGTCACTCATGGAACACTAAATGACTTTGAAAATTTACTTTTGTTATAGCTTGATAATGTTTCTTAAATGAATTTATTAAGAAATTATAATCAAAATTACATGACAAAACACTTATATGCAAAGTGTATACTGAGGTTAATTCATTTCAGTAACAATTTGTGTCTCAAAAATGTCAAACTGGGCTGGGGTTGTGCATCAGTGGTACCAACACTTGCCTAGCATGTATGAGGCCTTGGGTTGGATCCTCAGCACCATATAAACATAAATAAATAAAGATATTGTGTCCATCTACAACTAAAAAAAATATTTTAAAAAAAATGTCAAACTGCCTTATACACTTCTCCTACTGCCAAAGTTAAAAGAAGAAAGCTTTATTCTCACTTATATTTGCAATTGATATATTTTCAAGTTCAAATTATTACAGCACTGTCTTTCAAACTTCAAAGCAAATGCAAAGAAAATTTCTATGTTTCAAGTCATTTTACTAAGTAATTAAGGAGTTTCCCTCTAACTTTTAATTAGAAGTATTAATCTGTAAGATAATGATACTGAAAGACATATATCAAGAGAAGAATTTAAAAGAATTTTATAATGGTCTTCTAAGAGATAAATATGTTCACTTAAAATTTTAAACTCATATCGAGAAGTAACGATCTCCTGGTAATGATTTTAAAATATTGCAAATACATTTTTAAAAAATCATTGAATACACACTTTTAAATGGTTAAGAGGGTGAATTTTATTTATGTAAATTTTATCTCAATTAACAAAATTGAAAGCTCATAGATTAATATCAATATATTCCAGAACCTATCAGTGAATAACATCTTCAAAAATGAAATATGCAAAAGCTCATTACAGGTTAGACTTAAAAGATGAGCATTTGCAATTGATTTTGATGATAGCAAAACAACTTGGAACCCAAATTAAGCAAAATCTTATTTTTTAAAATTCTGCTTTTTTATATATTTATTTTTTAGTTGTAGTTGAACACAATATCTTTATTTCACTTATTTATTTTTGTGTGGTTCTGAGGATCAAACCCGGTGCCTCACGCATGCCAGGCGAGCGCGCTACTACTTGAGCCACATCCCAGCCCCTAAAATTCTGTTCTTTACATTAGCAAATTTGTCTTATTAAAAACTCCTATTCAATTATTACATTTTGAATTTTGTGAAAAAAAATTTGTAAAAATTTATTTCTTCTCTTGTATAAACTCATATGTTATATTCATATTTGTCTCTTGGCTTGCAATACCCACAATATTTATTATGTAAGTCCTTCACAGAGATAGTTTTTCAACTAATTATATTTACTGGGAATAAAGTTTGCATCTATGGAATGCTTTTAACAGTATATCCTTGGTTTAGGATTGCTGATGGCAATTAGGCTTTCAAATACATTAATAGTATAGAATCAGTTTGGAATCTGGATTTATCCCTCCCTCTAGAATGTCATGCAAGCTATTCAACTCTGAAATATAAAAAGAATATATGCTATGACTTCAGCACTCCCCATTGTATGAGGTGACCCTCATTGAGGTCTCACTAAGTAGTCTGAACCACAGAGTTCATATATGATATGAGAAGGAAGGACTAGATGTACTAGACCTCTACAGCAGGATGTACTAGACCTCTCCCTACTTTGCCTGTGCCTCTTTATTGCTTATATCTTTGAAATTATTAGTAAAGCTCAATATTGGGTAAGATCTCTAATGTTTGTGAGTCAGATTTGGCAGTTCCTATGTGTAAGCTCACATACTATTAATGTATTTGAAAGCCTAAGAAAAGTTTCCAAAAAAGAATCACAGCAATTTTGGCAAGACATCCAAACATTATTTTTACTCTTGGGATAGAGTGTGATGACTTTCATTTAAAAGAAGCACGGGTGGGACCTGGGTTCGATTATCAGCACCACATAAAAAATAAAAGCATTGTGTTGTGTCCATCTACACCTAAAAAAATAAATATTAAAAAAATTCTCTCTCTCTCTCTCTCTCTCTCCCCCCCCATTTCTCCTCTTTAAAAAAAAGCAAAAGAACCATATTTTCTAATATAATTACTCAGTATAATTTAGCTGTTGTTGTTTCTTGTACTGGCACTTAACCCTGAGCCACATTTCCAGGCCTTTTTTATATTCTATTAGAGACAGGTTCTCACTGAATTGCTTAGTGCCTCATTAAGTTGCTGAGGCTGGCTTTGAACTCATGATCCTCCTGCCTCTCAGCCTCCCTAGCTGCTGGGATTACAGGCATGCGCCACTATGCCTGGCTACTCAGTATAATTTGGTAAGAAGCAAAATGTTATCTTTTGCTCAACAGTCCACATATTTCTTGAAGATTTCTAAGCTCAGTCCCTTATATAGTTAAATTTTTTTAATGTGAAATCTTTTTAAAAATTAATTTATTTATATGTGTTGCTGAGAATCGAAGGCAGTGCCTCATAAGTGTGAGGCAAGCTCTGTACCACTGAGCCACAACCCCAGCTCATGAAAACACACCAATACATTCAAATACAAAGGATGTTCAGGCCCAAGGTACTGCATCATTTGTACATATCAAAATTTAAATCATTTCAATCCTAACGTTACAATTCTTTAGTTCCTTCTCAAGACTTCATGATTTTCTGTTAAAAACAACAAAAACTGGGCTGGGGATGTGGCTCAAGCGGTAGTGCGCTCGCCTGGCATGCGTGAGGCCCAGGTTTGATCCTCAGCACCACATACAAACAAAGATGTTGTGTCCGCTGATAACTGAAAAATAAATATTAAAATTCTCTCTCTCTCTCTCTCTCTCTCTCTCTCTCTCTCTCTCTCT